AACTGTAAGGGTGAGTTAGAGGAAGAACTTCTTATGTCTATACCTGCAACTTTCTGAATTGAAGGATTAAGAGCAATGTGTTCGTAATCCAAAGGTTGGTAATTTACAAAGGCATCCATCACCTGAATATAAAAATGTGGGTAAATGTGGCTAATAAATGCATGGACGTTCTTTCGAGGAGGAACAGCATCGACATATGACTCTTCGTGTGCTCGATCACTGGAGGAAAAAATTAATTCGGCCATAAAATGTATCAGTCTGTTCGAATGCTAAGACAGTGGAAGTGCTTAAAGGATTAAACGAGAGTTTAATACAGATGGTGAGTGACAGTTGCATTTCTGGGAAGATGCAAAACTCATGCACGTTCTAAGACGTGGGGAAAAGACCCTGATCCACTAATATCACCAAGTCTTGGGTATATTAGTGCGGGGGGTAATATTGGCTACATATTTTGTGCAAGCTAGTGACAGTTCGACGCGTGGCAAAGTAAGGGTAATATGGGGAGACCGGTCAAGTCTCCGATCCTGATCATACACGTGGCAGTTAATATTGGTTGTTATAAGATCTGAGTAGCAGTGGATCAACAAAAAGATGTAAAGTGACGTGGCTTCAATGGTTACTCACATTCAAATTCAAATATAAGAAGGAAGCCTAACTGCAAGTGAAAGTGTAGTGGAACTATTCATAAGGCAGCATGATCAGCGATCACAGAGGAGCAGTTCGACGGTTTGAAGTGCAGTTCGATGGTTATCTTTGGGGAGTATAAATAGCAGGGAAGACCCAGGAAAGAAAAGGGACTCAGATCTAAAAAACCAGTCTTACTTTACATATTTCATTCAAGTTTTTATATTTCCTGTTCTTTACATTTCTGTACTTTAAATTCCTGCACTACACTTCATTCATAGGAGTAGTTTCAAGTAGATTGTCGCTATAAATCTCTACGAGGCTGAGTTTGGATCATTGTAAGTTTTTCATACTAATGAAATGCTTTAATTGTTCTTTATTTAACTGTTCTTATGCTTAAATTTTCCTAAATCAAGCCACCAGTAAAAGTCCTCTTCATTGAGGCTGAAGGAACTATAACACAATCGTCTGAATAATTGGTTGGCAATTAAAATTCTGTAAGGGCTGATTGATCCTTGCTGGCACGCTCATAATTACAAAAATAACTTTCGAAAGCCAAAAAGCCAACACCCCCAGCGAACCCTCCGACGAGCAAGTTAGAAAGAGAAGTGGATTGTAGAGATAGATTAGAGATAGAAAAGCTTAACCTTCTGCTTGTCTTCAACGTCTGCTTATATCCTCTGGTAATCATTTCGTTGTCCCTTCCGACCTGTCGCCTTGGCCGAAAGTCTATGCTGTAGCTTCCCTTGTTCAGGGTGAGGGCGCGTCGTCCTGACGGAGAAGGGTTATCGCAATAAATGCTGTAAGGGGGCCTCATTAATGGCGATGTGCCGTGGCAATAACTTTGCAGATCTTTGTCTGCTGATATGGCTTGCCCTTCTCTTGCCATGTGTCTTGATGTCATTGGTTCTTATTGCTACATGGGGCTTCAACAGTGTTGGGCTCTAGTATTTGGGATATGTATTGGGCCCTAAATGGTGGGTTATAACCTTTATGGGCCTACCCATGTCAAATGACATTTTTGAATAAACTATATCCAACTTGTTAAACGTAAGATAAAATTTTAAGGGGTTTTCTGTTTAGGGTCCCTGGTATTAAGACTTTATAGTATAAAAGACATCTAATATTTTCATAATATCTAAGGTCTCTCAATTTGATCCAGAGAAATTCTGGTCCAGAGAAATTTTGTCCAGAGAAATTCTCTGTTTTTCTCCAGAGAAATTTTGATTTTGTTGAAAAAAGAGTACAATCTACAAGGGCAAACCCCAAGTTGTTCAAGGTTGTCTTGAGGACCACCTATCTACTAGGTTGCAAAACAAAATGACAGGAACCTAATTACCTTCAAAATTGGGCTACCATTGACAGCAACAATAGCAGGAGCTACTTGACACAACTCCAGCAACCTATTTGTAGATATATCAGTAGCAGTGCACAAATTACACTCTAAGCAGCCACCTTAGCATGCAAAAGAAAGTTTCCTTCCAATCTATGAGCTCAAGCACTTTCAAAAGGCAAGCCCTCATAGCAGTCCACATTCACAGCTGAGAATACATCACATATCTGTAACAAATAGAAATTCTAGATCCATCTTAGAGAAATTTTGTTCCCAGAGAAATTCCGGATCCATCCTAGAGAAATTCTCTTCCCAGAGAAATTTTGATTTTCTCAGAAGCCATCACCAGAGAAATTTTGGATCCATCACCAGAGAAATTCTCTTCCCAGAGAAATTCTGATTTTCTCAGAAGCCAAACAGTCCATTGAAAGAAAATTAAAGACATAATTTCAGATAACACAGCTTTGGTACTTTTCTGAAAACACTTGGTGGGCATTGTTCTCAATGAATTGCTCATTTGAAATTTCATCCAGAGAAATTCTGGACTTCCCAAAGAATTTCTCTGGGTTCAACCCAGAGAAAATTCAAATTTCTCTGGATTCATTTTGACCAATTTTCTTTGGATTTAAATTTAAATTCAAATTCAAATTTCTTTGAGTTCATTTATAAACTAGAGAAAATTCAAATTTCTCTGGAACCAAACAACATGCAAAATCAAATATTAATATTTAAATGAATGTAAATCCCTAATCATGTACTATTGAAACAGTGGGCTATATCATACATGCTATAGGTGGTTCGGTGCTCCAGTGCTTCGGAAAACAAACAGTAGCATGCAACAATTTTTTTAATTATTTAAATCTAATTAATAGAAGTCACAAATTACAATTAGCAATCATGAACTTCATGTATAAAATAGTGACGCCGTGGATGGGTTTGGTGGCGGAGGGAGGAGATTTGAGGTCGAGGAAAGTGGTGAGGCGGCGGTTGACGATGCCGTTGGAGCGGCGAGAGGTGTTGATGGAGAAGGTGTAGAAGAAGAGTAAGAGTTTGATCTTCCATGGAAGGGCAGGTTTGGGTTTGGTTTGACTAGCCATTGAACCTTCTTCACTTCTCTCACTCTGTTATGGTGAAGAAACCTATTGTACAATAGTTTTATAGTACTTGATAAGCTCTCGTGCTATTGGCCGTTGTGCCGGTTCCGAATGAAATGCGGGATCGGATTTGTGAATTGGGTGGTGGGTTTGGAAGAGGTGAGGCGTGAGTCTGAGAAAGAGAGGGGTGAAGGTTTGAAACTTATACCAAATTTCTCTGTAATACATGGGTGTGGGGTTGAGGGACCTTAAACATTATCTAATAATATTGTGGATCTCTTCCATTACTGAAATTGGGAGAGGGACCTTAGACTAATTTTTCCAAATTTTAATGCTAATATAAGTTTTATTTTTGTTTTTAATTAAATATAATGTTTTTTTTTATTATTATTATTTGAGTTAATATAATAAAAATTTTATGGTGAGTATTTGAAATTAAACTGAAGTTAGATTGGAGTGTTTGAAAAATCATTCAAAAATAATGGCGAGTGTTTGAAATTAATTTTTAATTATTCGAAAAAAATTGAGAGATTAGAAAACAGAGCCAATGGTGGTAGGAGTAATTCCCGTGTGAGATCTATTGTCTTAGTTTACATAAACAGCAGAGCAGGTTCAAGATGTCATATTCACTGATCAGCTAGTAAACTCGATAGGTTTTCACTGGGAGAGGTTCAAAGCCAAAAGCTACCTTCTCTGATGTCGGGGTTAGTCCGTTGTACTTTCTCTCAGAGTCTTTATTGTTGAACGATGTCCGTTTGTTGAGTCATTCGGTCAATTTTTATTCATGTGGGGGATTGTTGGAAAAAATGATTTTTGGGCACTTTAATTTAATATTAAAGTGTGGTGACTTTAATTAAATATTAAAGTGGGTCCTAACTATTTTTTATGTTGGGTCCAAGTGAGCCAAAAACCGTTGGGTTTTGAATAAGAAATTGCCAAGAAATTGCTTCATGATGTTAGATTCATGAATAGGATTTTAAAGAGTATTTAAATCTTTTTTCTTGGCTAAAGGGTGTGAATCCTTTGGGCATACATACTTTTCATTTTGTGGAAAGGGACTATGGATGCTTGGTGTTTTAATGACTAGCCTTAAAGGCTGGAGGCTTTTCCTCTCTCCTCTATACATGTATAAATTGAGACCCTCTTGTCAAGTTTCAATATAGAAATTTTTGCTTTCATTTTACAAGTCAGTTTGCTTGATAGTTCTTATTGTGAGAGAATGCTGCCATTGTTTTGTTCGCTAAGTTAGACAGATAGTGCTTCTGCCGTAGCTGGTTTTGACCGTCGTATCCTGGGAGACAGACGCCGGGTTTCCTCAAGCACTCGACCCGTGAGGCGGCGAAATCTGTTTTAAGGAAACTGCTTCCGTGCAGGCTTCGGTTTTGTCTCTTTACCCTTTATTGTTTTTTGTGTATTTCTATTTGAAATTTAGTTGTAATTATCAGCATATGTTCTTGGTATATAATTTGTTTTCTTCATAAATCTATTTATTTAATTTCACAATTTTGAACAACATGAAGCTTATACCAAATTTCTCTGTAATACATGGGTGTGGGGTTGAGGGACCTTAAACATTATAAAATAATATTGTGAATCTCTTCCATTACTGAAATTGGGAGAGGAACCTTCGACTAATTTTTCCAAATTTTAATGCTAATATAAGTTTTATTTTTGTTTTTAATTAAATATAATGTTTTTATTATTATTATTATTTGAGTTAATATAATAAAAATTTTATGGTGAGTATTTGAAATTAAACTGAAGTTAGATTGGAGTGTTTGAAAAATCATTCAAAAATAATGGCGAGTGTTTGAAATTAATTTTTAATTATTCGAAAAAAATTGAGAGATTAGAAAACAGAGCCTTTCGGCTTTGACGGAGCAATAGCAAACTGATCTTCGTTCCTATCCTTCCTTTGCAAAGAAAAGAAAAGAAAAGAGAAGAAAAGCATGGCTGATTTGGTTGGGGGTGCATTTCTCTCAGCTACCATTCAAGTGTTGTTTGATCGGTTGGCCTCTCGCGAGGTCATTAACTTCTTCCATGGAAAAAACCATGGTGATAGAATCCTCCTCCTTCTCAGGAAGCTCAAGCTATTGTTGCTGGGACTTAGTGCTGTGCTTAATGATGCAGAGGACAAGCAAATCACTAATCCAGCGGTGAAAGAGTGGGTGGAAGAGCTTAAAGATGTTGTCTACCATGCGGATGACTTAGTAGATGAGATTGCTACTGAAGCTCTGCGGTCCAAGTTAGAAGCTGACTTCCAAAGCTGCATCAGCATCAGCATCGACCTAAGCCAGGTACTAAGTATAAACCCCCTCACCTTGACAACTACTACTACTGCTAGTTTGTTTGATGCGGGGATAGAGTCCAGGATAGAGGAGATCATCGATAGATTAGAATATTTTGCAAAAGAAAAAGATGTTCTTGGTTTGAGAGAAGTTGTTGGACATAATAACTTGTTTCACAGATCGCAAACTTCTTCTTTGGTCGATGAATCACGTGTTTATGGAAGGGATGTTGGCAAGGAGGATATAATGAAGTTGTTGCTCCCCGTTGATGATGAGGCAAGTGGTAGTAGTAATGAGATAGATGTGATTCCAATAGTGGGGATGGGTGGGGTTGGCAAGACCACCCTTGCTCAACTTTTATATAATGATCACAGAGTGTGCAATCACTTTGAAATGAAAGCATGGGTTTGTCTCTCTAATGAATTTGATGTTTTAAGGGTTAACCAAGTAATTCTTGAGGCAATTACTCAACAAACTTGTGATGCCAAGAACCTAGATATGATTCAAGTCAAGCTGAAGGAGTTGGTGAGTGGGAAGAAATTTCTTATCGTCTTGGACGATGTTTGGAACGAGAACTATGATCACTGGGACAGCTTGAGTTGTCCTTTTAGATATGGCGCACGTGGGAGTAGGATTATTGTTACAACGCGCAATGAGAGAGTTGCATCTGTCATGCAAACCGTTCCTATTCATCGTTTGCAGGAATTGCCATTTGAAGATTGCTGGAAATTGTTTGCCAAACATGCTTTTGAGAAGGGAGATATCAATTCACATCCAAAACTTGAAAATATTGGCAAAGAGATCGTGAAAAAATGCAAAGGTCTGCCTTCAACTACAAAAACATTGGCAGGCCTTTTGCGCTCCAAACGAGATGCTGAGGATTGGAGCAATATATTGAAAAGTGCTATTTGGGATTTGCCAAAGGATAACATTCTTCTGTCCTTAAGATTGAGCTATCATTATCTCCCTTCACATTTAAAGAGATGTTTTGCTTATTGTTCCATATTTCCCAAAGGTTATGAATTTAAAATGGAGGAATTAGTTCTGTTATGGATAGCAGAAGGTTTTTTGAAGCCAAGAAGTAACACAACAATGGAAGAAGTAGGTTATGAATGCTTCAATGAATTGTTGTCAATGTCATTATTTCAACAAAGTGCCAGAGAATCTTGTTTTGTCATGCATGATCTTATTAATGATTTAGCTCAATCTGTGTCTGGAGATTTCTGTTCAAGGTTAGATGATGACAAGCCACATATAATTGTTGAAAAAGTACGCCATTTCTCATATGCTAGAGGCATATTTGACAACTTTCAAAGATTCCAGGCAATCAATGAGGCTAAGTTTTTAAGGACTTTCCTACCAATACGACGCAGACATTTTTACAACTGCTGGTTGACTAAAATGGTTTTGGACGTTATTTTGTCGAGACTAATATGCTTAAGGGTGTTGTCTTTGCCATATTATGAGATTTTTGAATTGCCTCATTCAATTGGCAATATGATACATCTACGCTATTTGGATCTCTCTTGCACAAAAATCCAACAATTGCCAGAATCTATTTGTAACCTGTATAATTTACAAACATTGCTGCTACGTAATTGCTATAATCTTGCTACATTGCCAATAGATATTGGAAAATTAATTTTGTTGCGTCATCTTGATATCAGTGGAACTTATAAGTTACAGGAGATGCCAATGAAAATGAGTCGATTAAAAGATCTCCAAACATTAACTGCTTTTGTAGTGGGAAATTGTAGCGGGTCAAGAATTAATGAGTTGAAGGAGTTTCGTCATCTCCGTGGAAGGCTCTCCATTTCACGTTTGCAAAATATAGCAAGTTGCACAGATGCAATGGAAGCAAAGCTGAAGGAGAAAAACCTCCTTGAAACTTTGGTGTTGAGATGGGATAGTGGAATTACTAATGATTCACAAAGTGAAAGAGCTGTACTTGACAAACTGCAACCTCATACAAACTTGAAACACCTCGAGATAAACAGGTATCGAGGCACAAGATTTCCGGAATGGTTGGGAGATCAATCATTCTGTAATATGGTGTCTTTACGTTTGAAGGATTGTGAGCATTGTGTTCTCTTGCCATCGCTTGGTCAATTGCCCTCTTTGAAACATCTTACCATTTCAGGGATGCATAGTTTAAGAAAGGTGGATCCTAAATTCTACGGAGATTGTTCTTTAAGTAAACCATTTCAATCTCTGGAGACACTGATTTTTTCCAAAATGTTGGATTGGGAGGAATGGTATATATTAGATGATGGAGAGTTCTCTCACCTTCAAGAGCTTCGGGTCATCAACTGTCCAAGGCTGATTGGAGGCTTACCCAAACACATTCCATCTTGTGTGAGAGTTGAGATTAGGGACTGCCCAGGGCTTACGGCTTCACTTCCAATGAGTTGTGTTGCAGATCGATTAGTGTTGCGGGGTTGCGATGGGGTAGAATTGGGATGGCAAGGTTTGTCTTCTCTTGTAGAATTGGTTATTTCATCTACAAGTTTGAATGAATTGACACCTGAACTTTGTACCTTAACAAATCTGAAGGATTTGAGGATAGAGGGATGCCCAGATCTATTGTCATTTCCAGACACAAGGTTGCCGCCCATGCTTACGCGCCTTACAATCATCAGTTGTAAGGCCATACGTTGTTTGCCAGAAAGAGTGATGTGTCTCAGCAATTGCCTTCAACGTTTGGAAGTTAAGGACTGTCCAAAACTAGTTTTCCCCCAATTTGAGGAGTTGGAGAAGCGCTATACATCTCTGGAATATTTGTCATTGGAAAACTGTGATTCTCTCTCATATCTGCCACTAGGATTGTTTCCAAAGCTTCGAACTCTAAACATCAAAGACGTCAGAAATTTTTCGACTCTTTCGACTCTAAACAGGCTTGGATTCCAAAATTTTGCATCACTGGAATGGCTTTCTTTGGCTGGGTGTTCTAATATGGAATCTTTTTCGCAGCAAGTATTAATTGCTCCCAATTTGAAAACCTTTCAGCTATGGAACTGCGAGAAGCTGAAGTCGTTGCCCGATCGAATGCATAGCCTCACATCTCTTCAATCATTGAGTATATATAACTGCCCAGGAATTGAGTCGTTTTCGGAAGGGGGTCTGCCCTCCAGCTTGCATGGTCTTGAAATCTGGGAATGTGCGAAACTTGTGGGTCGCAATTATTACAAAAAGTGATAAATATTATAAATACTAATTATTACAATTATAAATTTTTTTAATTAATTTATAATTGAGTGGGATTTGCAAAGACTCCCTTATCTTACACACTTTATTATCTCGGGAGAATATGAAGAAGATGTGCTAGAGTCCTTTCCAGAGGAGGGTCTGTTGCCCTCGACTCTCATATCGCTCTGTATCCAATCTCTACCAAATCTCAAATCGCTCAACACCAAGGGCCTTGAGCATCTTGGCTCTCTCAAAAACATGAGGATTGCCGGCTGCCCCAAACTCCAATCCTTGCCGGAAGAAGGGCTTCCAACCTCCCTCCTCCTGCTGGAAATCTCCGAGTGTCTACTGCTGAAACCTCGCTGCCTGAGGGATCAAGGACAAGACTGGCATAAGATTGCTCGCATCCCCTTTCTACATACGGATTCTGAACTCAGCTTTGATCAACGCACTGTTGGTCCAACACAACCCTACAGTCTTTTTTCTGAATTCGACACTGCAATATTTTGAACTTTCCACTCAGGTATTTGCTCAACACCCTATAAAATATTGGGTTTGGTTATGGTGTGCAACTTACACCTTATACTTTATACATTACACTTACACCTTACACTTATACTTTTTGTAAAAAATTAAACCTTACACTTACACATTTTTTGAGGTTGCACACCATGTGCAACCCACTTACACCTTACACCTTACACTTACACCTTATACTTACACCTTACACTTACACTTTTTGTGTAAGTGGCACATGGTGTGCACTTGCACACTTAAGAAAACTCCTAAAATATTTTCAAACAACAATTAAGAGAAAATGCTACCTACAATTTTATTTTATTTCTACTTTTTTTTTTCTTTTTTTTTTTTGGGTGACTTTTTTAAGATTTAGATTCAAATAACTAGGTCTGACGTGAGTTTTTGTGTTTAGGAATAAAAAAATATAAGATAAAAAATAAAAATATCTATAACATTGCTGCTGCTAATTAATTTTCATTCAAATCCATTCATCTTTATTTATTAATAATTTTCACTCAACCACTTTTTTCTCTCTCTGTTTAATAGAAAAGAAAAGGATCAAATGTTGACCACCACGGGGATCCTAATTGGTAAAAGAGTTTGCTCCTTCCCTTACTAACTCAAGTGAAAATTCGACGGTTTAGGTAGATCGGTTAGCTTCCCTCTTTTGCCTTGTAAGGGTGTATCCTAAGGGCCTTTCCTTTTAATCAGGTACAAACTTCTACTTTTTTTAAGGGTGTATCCTATAGTCTTTTTTCTGAATTCGACACTGCAATATTTTGAACTTTCCACTCACGTATTTGCTCAACACCTTAAAAAATATTTTCAAACAACAATTAAATAAGAGAAAATGTTGCCTATAATTTTATTTTTATTTTTTTTAACTTTTTCTAGATTTAGATTCAAATAAATAGGTCTGATGTGAGCTTATTTAGTTTTGTGTTTAGGAATAAATAAATAAAAAAAGATAAAAAATAAAATTATCTATAACATTGCTGGTAATTAATTTTCATTCAAATCCATTCATCTTTATTTATTAATAATTTTCACTCAACCACTTCTCTCTCTCTATGTGTTTAATAGAAAAGAAAAAGGTCAAATGTTGACCACCAAGGGGCCATCCTAATTGGTAAAGGAATTTGCTCATCTCCTTATTGACCAGGATTCGAATCCCTTACTACTCAAGTGGAAGTCTGATGATTTAGCTAGATCGACTAGCTTGCCCCCCCTTGGCTTGGTGTATCAATATTTTTGAACTTTCCACTCAGGTATTTGCTAAACACCCTATAAAATAATATTTTCAAACAACAATTAAATAATATAAAATGTTACGTATAATTTTATTTTTTTAAATTTTTTTAAAACTTTTTCTAGATTTAGATTCAAATAAATAGGTCTGATGTGAGCTAATTTAGTTTTGTGTTTAGGAATAAAAAAAATAAGATAAAAAATAAAATTATCTATAACATTGTTAGTAATTAATTTTCATTCAAATCCATTGTTGGTAATTAATTTAATAATTTTTACTCAACCATCTCTCTCTCTCTCTTTAATAGAAAAGAAAAAGGTCAAATGTTGACTATCAAGAGACCATCCTAGTTGGTAAGGGAGTTTGCTCCTCTCTTTACTGACTAGGGTTCGATTCCCCTACTACTCGAATGAAAGTCCGACAATTTAGATGGATCAAGTTCAATTCCCCTACTACTCGAATGAAAATCCGACAATTTAAATAGATCAAATTCAACAATTTAGGTGGATCAACTATCTTCCCCCTCTTAACTTGTTAGAGGGGATCCTAAAAGTCTTTCCTTAAAAAGGTCAAATGTTGGAATATTTGGTGTATCAATATGAGGCCGCGCAACTTCCTCAATCAGGTACGCACTTCTACTTCTTTTTAATGGGCAAATAACATGACAGTGGGAGTCAGAAAAAATTATTACAAAAAGTGATAAATATTATAAATACTCATTATTACAATTATAAATTTTTTTTAATTAATTTATAACTTTTTTTGTTTGACACCACTATCAGATAATTGTCACTTTTTTAATATGCTATTAATTTATTTATGGATTAATTATATTTTTCACATCTATAATTTGATCTAAATTTCACTTTAATTTTTTTATTGTTTCAATTTAAATAATTTAATCCTTACACTTTAAGTTTATTTTCAATTTGGTCTTTCGGTCTAAATTTTTGTTAATTTCATCTACGTGTACATCTTAAAAAATTGACTAGTGTTCCAAAATTGTTAATTTTAATTTTCTTCATCTTTTTTTTTTTGTTGTTTGTTAATTTTGCCTGCATGTACAACTTAGAAAATTAATAAATATTCCAAAATTGTTAATTCTAACCTCCAATTTGAACGGAACAACCAAATTAAAATTACGCTAGAAGTGTAGGACCAAATTGTTAAATTTAAAACTATAGAAACTAAAGTGAAATTTAAATCAAATTATAAAGGTGAAAGACTCTTTGTTTATTGAGTAATGATTTTTTAATGCCCAAAACATCACCCTTAAATTTATAAACAGGTGGAGGTTGAAGGTTGGATCTTCGTTGATATCAATTTAAAACTGTAGTTTGTTTGGCATGTCAATTTGGGCCTAAACTAGTCACAAAAAACAAAATAGATTAAAAAGTCAATAAGATAAAATGTCACATCCAAACTATAATTATTTTATTTTTTCTCTCGCAAAAGTCAAAAAAGTCCAACCCAAAGGAACTTTTTTGCCTTAGGCTAAAATAGCCAAAAAGCCAACTCACTTCCCAAACGAAGGCTAAAGTGAAATTTGAATAAAATTATACAATGAAAATGAAAAGTGTAATTAATCATTTATTTATTGAGTAATGATTTTTTTATGGCCAAAAACATCACCCTTAAATTTATCGACATGTGGCGGGATGTTGAAGGTTGAATCTTAATTGATTGATTTTATGACTATGTTTAAATCCAAGATTTGAGGAAGAATTTATGAAGAGAAATGAAATAGGAAGGAAAAAGTGAGTGCAATATAAGTTAATTTTATTGTCACATTTTCATTTTCAAATTCCTCTTAAAATTATTAATCCAAATACAACCTAAAGAAATCAACAACTTACAATAACAGATCACGTCATTAGAATCAAACTTAGGAGTGATGTTAAGGTTTTAGACATTTTCTTCATTAATTTTGAGGCTGGTTAGATCTTGAAAGTTTCGTTGCATGCACTGTTCTAAATGAAGAATCGTATACATAATCTCATTTGTTATCTTCTAGACACAAAGTAATAGAGTTCATATTTATAAACGTATATGGGCCCACTCACTTGTTTGTTGGAGTAAGCAAAGTAAGTGAAAAATATGATTATATGTAGCATTTTCCATTCTAAATTGGTGAAATACTACTCAGGCAGGCTCCAACTATCTGACATAAAATATTTTTCTTGTAAATTAATTTTGTACAAAATTATTATTATTATTTTTTGATTTGTTAGTGGGTGTTTAGTTGACACTTTGAAACAAAAAAAATATATACATATATTGTATCAAAGAGTAGAAGCCCATGATGAGCCACAATTTTACCTTTTGAAAAATCAATGTGTTGAAGGGTTTAATTGGAAGTAAACTTTCTAAAATCAACTTAGAGATTCTTTAATGGCAAGTCATTTTGGGGGATTATAACCTAAAATATTTTATTTATTTTTTGTTTAACCTAATAACGGCAAATGTGTAAAATGTTTTCTTAAAAACATTTTATGTCAAAACAAACATATCCTAAATGAAAATTGTGTTTTAAGAAAGTATGAAATCTTGTGTGTTGTAGTATTAACTTTGGGGGGTGAGAAATGAAAATTAGATTTATCCGACACTTGGAATAATATCCACACCCAACACATATCCAAATTCATGTAACATAGCTTAAACAGATTATTGTGAACCAATTCTTCTTCAACAATAGTGAGTTATGTACATTTTTTTCCCACAAAACTGAAATATGACACCAGTGTTTTGTTTATTTTGTTTCGATCGGAAAAAAAAGGTGAAATTTTATTGATGCAGCAAAAGATGACAAAATTACATCAATAAAAAGCTAAACTCATTAGCATCATTGCAAAAAAGTAAATCACAACTAAGTTGGTACATACAACCCATCAATCAGAATAACCAAAGCCAAGAAGACAAATAAAGTAAGTTGGCATGACACCAACTAGAAAACCCTCTATAAAAACAGAAAATCCCACAAGATAATACTAAGAAAACCACCCTTCAATACATGGCAGCCCAAAATAAATAGGAAACATCTCCTCTTGACATTCAACAACTACAAAGCTGTTGGAAGAAAAACACTATTGTTGTGTGCTATTGTAATGTGTAAAACAGAATTATGACAAATCAGAAACACAACTGTGTTTGTATAAACCAAACACAGAAAACACAGATACTGTTTGAAGCAGATAACTGAAAAGCAAAATCTGTATTAGGAAGAAAAAAAACACTATTTTGTGATTCTATGACAGTGTTGAAACAGAACAGAAACAAATAGCAAGAAAAAAAACAACTATGTATACATCAAATAGAAACAGGAAAATATTACAGTTCGTATGAATGCAGAAAATCAGGTTGGTGAAAGCTTAGTGTTTGACACTATGTACAGAATTTTGTCCCTCGCATTGGTGCTTGCAAACTTCTTGGATGCATCAACATGGCAAGCAATATGTCACCAGCCATTACTGAAGATTTCTGTTGCAAAGTGGAAGAAAAGATGGTCCGGTACAGGATAAGTTCCCTTTTTGTGACATATAGTTGATTGCAAGCAGCCTCTCCCAATAATAAAGACTATTGTAAGTGGTTTCTGATCATTATTACAAGCTTAATTGTTAAATTCATGGAGGGTACTGTAAATTTTTCCCCAGTATTATATTTTTTAGATGAGCACACTGGCATATGTAAATTCTAATCTGTGCAGCTTTATGGATTGTGTTCGTGTTCTATTGAATTGCTATTCAGAGTTTCCTCATGACTATATATCTTGATGTCTTCTACCAGCAATTGTTTTTATCATGGAAAATTTAGATATCATAAGCTTTTCCTTGTCCACTCTTTTAAAATTGTGCAGTTTATTATTGAAGTTGGTACTAATTGTGCAGTTTGTCTCTAAAAATGTTCTTGCAATATTGAAATACTTTCCTTTTTGTTTTTCATTTTTTGGAACTCGTCACCAGTGTAGATTTTTGCTAATTGAAATACTATTACAGGTTCCTATTACAAGTTAGATTTTTGCTTCATTGGTGTACATTCATTTGCCTAAACACTTTATTTACATTTATTTTTTCACTTTTCTTAAGCAATATTGTTTTCATCAATCTGAAACTTGTTATGTTCAAGAAATTATGATTAATGTTGATGATGGTTGAGCATTGAACTTCTGATGGTTTATGTGGGGCTTGTTAGAATTGTTCCTCAAAGTCATGTAGATTCATTGATTTTTTTATTTGTTTTATGTCTGCTATATCAATGCATTTCACTTGGTGCAATGATGAGCTAACATGAGTTCTGGATTTGTTATGGATTCACTCAGAATTTAGCCCCAATCAACACTGTTGACTTTTTGTCCTGAGTATTTGTTTGATTGAGATTTAGAATCTGCTTTTGAAAATCTTTCAAAAAATTACAAATTAGTTTGACCAACAAAAAAAAAAAAAACCACAACAACAACAACCAAAAAATAAATTTCATTTTCTAAAATTATTTTCATTTAGAGAGAGAGAGAGAGTCATAGGAAAATAATGAATTTCTGATTTTTTTTTATTCACCGAACTAATTTTTGATAAATTTTCTGAAATAGATTTTGAAAACTTATCCACTGTAACATAATTCGTGCTTTTTGCAGAAAGAAATAACAAAATTAAAAAGTATTGTCTTGTCTTGTATAAAGGTTTTGTGTTGCATTGTAGAAGTTAGTCTTCCAATACAGCACAATAAACAACATTGCATGTGAAAATTTCGCAGGGTCTTTGGCTTCTTTGGACCTGAAGTGGCAAAACTATAATGAAAATGCACGTTTCAAGTTAGAAAGTGCAAAACAATAATCTCTTTTATTTTTCAGAATTGATAGAAATATTTTCATCCAAGTTGATTTAACAGATTGTTAAATGCTAAAAAGTTTAGGCCTAGGTTGCCTCTAACCAAATTGAGTTGAGTTTTGAAATATGTGGCGGTTATTGTGAAGCAAAGTGAAGTGAAATTCAAAGATTCAACTTGAACTCTTGTTGCAGGTGTGGACCTTGTCAATTCATGGTTCCTGTTCTGAATGAAGTTAGTGCTTCAATGAAAGATAAGATCCAGGTGGTGAATGTTAGAATAGCTTTAGCATAGCTTTAGCAGACTTCATTATTATTTGTATAGCTTTATGATAGACTAGCTTTAACTTTATATTATTAATTGTATAGTGTTTGCTTTCGGTGATAATGGTGGTATCCAATGCCCCTTTCTCTCTCTATAAAGAGAGCCTTCATCTCTTTGTAAATCACACAACATAATACAAACATTTCAGAGTCTCTCTCTCACTCTATAGCTTCTCTCACTCTCTCAAACTAATCTTTCAGTGAAAATTGATATTGAGAAATACACAAGTGTTGCTGATGAGTACAAAATAGAGGCATTGCCCACTTTCATTATATTTAAGGATGGAGAACCCTATGATTGCATTGTAAGTGGAACTCCAATTCTTTTTCTTTCAATGCCATTCTTACATTTGTCACGAATGATAATTTAGATTATACAGTACAGTATCATAGAAAAATGCTTAGTAACTCGAATTTGTGTAGCTCGAATGACTCGAATGTCTCAAAACAACATTGTTTTGAGACATTCGAGCCATTCGGGCCATGAAAATTCGAGCTACCAAGCATTGTTAAGTATCATATTAGACTTCTTGTTTTTATCTCACACACGCCTGGGGAATGGATAAATGTTGTAACTTGATTTCACTCTTTCTAAGTACTTGCATTTTTCTCCCAGGCTGGGAAGATATTGGCATGATCCACTGTTTGGGCAATCTCGAGTTATATTGTTAACTTGATTGTTTCTTGATTCTATAAAAATTCACTCAGTTAATGCTTGATATATCTGCAATGGTTTGTTCTTAGAAAAGTATTTCAATGTTGCCTCTAACCAAATTGAGTTGAGTTTTGAAATATGTGGCGGTTATTGTGAAGCAAAGTGAAGTGAAATTCAAAGATTCAACTTGAACTCTTGTTGCAGGTGTGGACCTTGTCAATTCATGGTTCCTGTTCTGAATGAAGTTAGTGCTTCAATGAAAGATAAGATCCAGGTGGTGAAAATTGATATTGAGAAATACACAAGTGTTGCTGATGAGTACAAAATAGAGGCATTGCCCACTTTCATTATATTTAAGGATTGAGAACCCTATGATTGCATTGTAAGTGGAACTCCAATTCTTTTTCTTTCAATGCCATTCTTACATTTGTCACGAATGATAATTTAGATTATACAGTACAGTATCATAGAAAAATGCTTAGTAACTCGAATTTGTGTAGCTCGAATGACTCGAATGTCTCAAAACAACATTGTTTTGAGACATTCGAGCCATTCGGGCTATGAAAATTCGAACTACCAAGCATTGTTAAGTATCATATTAGACTTCTTGTTTTTATCTCACACACGCCTGGGGAATGGATAGATGTTGTAACTTGATTTCACTCTTTCTAAGTACTTGCATTTTTCTCCCAGGCTGGGAAGATGTTGGCATGATCCACTGTTTGGGCAATCTTGAGTTATATTGTTAACTTGATTGTTTCTTGATTCTATAAAAATTCACTCAGTTAATGCTTGATATATCTGCAATGGTTTGTTCTTAGGAAAGTATTTCAATAATGTATATGTCCAATAGTTGACAATTTCCTTCAGCATTTATATCATGTGTACTGAACTTAGTAGTGGACAGTGCCAGCACCATCCTCTGATGTACTCATTTTGATTTACTTTTGGATTCGAGGTTTAGGACTTATGCTTTCTTTGTAATCATTTCTGTTTAATAACATTCAGGAGGGGGCTTAGAATGCAAACCAACTCATTGAACGCATTGAGTTTGCATTACAAGTTAAATAGTAGTTTTTTATGGTAAGCCTTCTATTTCTCTCTCATTCTTGTGGTTGGTTAACTAGTTGAAAAAGCAGCATGCTCTTGAGAGACCTTGAGAACTTTTCTTTTTTCTCTTCTCAGGTTCGAGTGGGAAACTGATGATGTGATGCAGCAAATTCAATTGGAGTTCCTAGCTGCTAGGAGAACGAATTTCATGTTCACTTCATTCTCTGTCGCTCCACAAAATAGTTGGCATTGTGCCTTGGAAATGTGATAGCACTTGCTCCTTTCTTACGCTGTGTTTGGTTGGGAGATTTGAGGAGAGATTTGGAAAGAAAAAAAGAAAAAATTAGGTGAAATGTGAATAAAATATACTTACATTTCACCTACTTTCACACACCTTTTCCCTTTTTCTTTCCAAATCTCTCCCCAAATCCTCCAACAAAACACAGCATTAAGGGTTATGTTGATCCAATTCCAACAATTTTAAAACCTATTGTTATAACTATTGCTTAATTGCACAGCCATTGAATATGTGATAAAAATTGAATGAAAAAGATTTGATCCCCAACATTATTTTCAAACAATCAAATCTTGACTCCATTTTTCTCACACACAAGTGCCAAAACAAGTGGGAAAAAAAGTGTCCTTGAGATTATCCATTATAAGTATGATATTAGATTGAGGATTCATATATAACAATAAATAAATAAAAAATATATTAATTTCTCTCTCTTTGATAATTTAGAAAAATAAAGATAAAAGAATGAGTTTTCTTTTTTCTTTTTCTTTTTTTTTATCTCTAAAAAAAGAAATAGTGCAGACTTCAGTCTCAAGCTAAGACTCTGCTTTAGGTGAAGTATAAGAGTGCCATACCAAAGAGTAACGGAGAGTCAAAATTGGGTTAAAAATATTTTTAGGCCGACCCTTTCCGTTTAACCCACTCCCAAAGGCTGCTAAAAAACATGAAAGAATGAGTTATTATTATTTGAATAAAAAAAATGAAAAAAATAAAAGAATGAGAGGAGAAAATAAACTTTATAATGTGAGTAATTTAGGCAAAAATATAAATTCAATTCTTATATAATAATAAATAAATAAGTATTCTTTATAATGTGAGTTACATTTGTCCCCTTTTCTCATCAATATAGATTTTTGTTTTCCTTTTTTATTTTCTCTTCAAATCATCGGATCCAAACGGGCTGCTTCAATCTTGTTTTCCTCCGACCTCCACGCCGCCCTCCGCCTCATCCGCCGCTTCGAGCTCCTCAACCTCATTTCCCGCCAAAACGACCAGTTCGATAGAATCTGCGGTTTGATGAGCAGTCGCCATAAATTGATGTCTTGCCTAAACGAAGAAGAAGAAGAAGAAGAAGAAGAAGACAGCGACGTTTTGGCGAGGATTAGGGATGGCGCGAAGGCCATGGCAATAGCGAGAATGATGGGGGATGGCTTGGCTTTAGAATGCTCGGGGTTAGGGGAGTGTGTATTGGCAGAGGTAGTGTTAATTATGATGCAGTGGGTACTAAGGAATATCATATGGTCCCAGAATAATTGTTGCAAGTATCAAGCCCCCCCATTAACAAGGGTGAGGAGGTATCTGCTGTTGCTTACACTGACTTGTTGCAACCTAAGGTCTTTTGGTCTTCTCTTGGGGGTGTTTTAGGAAATTAGTAAAAAGTTAACTTTTAACTTTTTATCAAACTTTTTAACTTTTTGGAAAGTGATTTGAAAAGTTGGTAAAAAGTTGATTTTTTATTTTTTAGTTTAATATTTATTTATGGTGTCAAATCAAATTAAAATGACCAAAATACCCTTACTCAACATAAGAAATTTTTATTTTTATTTTTTTTTCATAGGTCTTAATTTGTAATTTTACACTTGCGTTTTTGGCAATTCCCAAACCACATTTATTACGTTTTTGGACATTTTGTCTAAAAAGGTGACTTTTTATTTTGTTCCCAAAATGGCTAGTAAATTCGATACAAATGTGTAATTGTTGTTATTATTTTCTCTCGGTGGATTATGTTCATCTTTTGAAATTTTAACTAAATGCATAATTAGACGGTCACAAATTTTGAAATTAAGGTATTATTCACTTCAGTAATTTGTAACTTGGGATTCAGAAAAAAAATTTAGACTTCTTTTTTGGTAAAGAAGATTTATCATATTTTAATGGTCTTGATTATTCAGAAGTTTTAGGAGGGGAAAATGCTGAAGTTATTTGTAATATTTGGGAGAAGTCCTGGCGTGGTTGAAAACTTGAAATATGCCGGGCTTAATTGGTACTTTTCAACAGAACTTGACAATCAGTCTCGAAGAAAATAAAAAACAAGGGATTTATTGTTGATTTCTTTCGTATATGTTACAGAGACATTGAGGGTGTATATATAGACTTGAAAACCAACTCCGAACAACTCAACTAACCAACTGATCACTTGTTCAGTAATTAAGGGGTTGTTTGGGGTGTATTAAATAAGTGCACTTTTTATCTTTTTGGACTAAAAAGTTGAGAAAAAAATATGAATGTTTCGGTTAATTTTTTTAACTTTTTATGGAAAAATATGTATTAAAAAATTGTATAAATAAGTGTGTAGGAAAAAATTAGAGATGTGTGTTGTACAGCCGTACAATCTGCTCAGCTGATTTGATAGTAAGAAATTATTTGCTACTTTTCGGGCATTACACTGGACGGTTTTGTTCGGTCCGTGAGAGCTATCACGGGTTTTCATTTTGATAATCTGAACTGTTCAATGTGTAGAACTCATCGAGCACTATATGCCTATAAAAATTACGTTGATCAGATATCGATAGCTATCTGATCAGATTTGTTTTTTTTCAATCGTTAATTGTAACACCATCCATTTTTTTATGTAAAACTGATTTGATCATGTAGTTATCGATATTCGATCAATGTGATTTTTTACAAACATATAATATTCGACGAGCTCTATATATTAACGGTTCAAATTATCAAAACGGGACCCGTGATAGGCCCCCACCAACCGAACAACAGTGTGTGAAAATTGCACCAAAACTGTGCAATTGTTCTTAACAAACGTTGCCCAGCGCCAGTTTTGCCATGATTGTTAAGTTGTATAGATGTGTGGAAAATTAATTTTTTAATATTTTTTTTAGTAAATAGTGATTACTTTTTAACTTTTTCAGTAACTTTTTAATTTTTTATCTTTTTTGGGAGATGCCAAACTTGGCCTAAGTTGGGGCTAACTACCTGACCTAATAGTTCTTTTCTTTGATAAAAATATTTGTATAAAATTGGGAGATTCTAAATAATAAACAAATAGGGGATACTTTTCTTAGTTTGGTTATTTTAAGAGTAATGCTACGCATCATGAAAAGAATATCATGAAAAGTTTCATGAAACTAATCCAAGGGTGATTGTATAACATACAATAAAACATTACAAATACTATAAACTAATCCAAGGGTGGAGATTCTTCATGAAGACTTTTCATGATACTTCTTTCATGATACCTAGTATTATTGTTATTTTAATTTAAAATAGAAATTAAAAGAATGAAACAGTCATAGTGGTTACATAATGAAACTCACATATTATGGCTGCACACACATGTATATACATAATCCACTATGGATAAACACATGAGCTATTTGATTAGTGGATACACACAATAATGGTAATAGGATAATAGCAGAATGGCATTGCAATATGCATGGGAAGTCACATACACCAATGCAGGTAGTTAAGAATGATTACAAGTATCATCACACCTTATAATGATCCATCTGATACATAGTTTTATGCATGACTTGGCTACATTTCCCATTGGTTATTTAAACACTGCCTTACATAGGTGCATGCATGTCCTTCCATGTCATGAAGAATGACACATTGCCTTGATGAATATGGACAGTGAATCTTCTTATACGAATACGAGTGACCAGGAGCAAAATCAACTTTCAGAACTATTTAGATCCTTCTTGTTAATGATTTCCTAATGCATTTTTAGTTTCATATCCATCTAGGTTCAATTGTTCAATCAACCAGAATGTTTTCGTATGCCAATTTTGTTTTTCTTTTTTCACCAGGTAATAAGGCAGTCAGAGTTATGTTTAAAGTATCACTTTTTTTTTTGTTCCTGACAACGATGTAATGCATGGCCCCTAACTTGTGTGGATCATGTTGTATAAATTGTATGATAATACAAACAAATAGATTCATATTGAACGAACAAATTGAATTTCAGAATAAGAACATGCATTACAAAAAAAATTGTTTTTTGCAACGGCAAAACGCTGTCGCAAATACTCTCGCACGCCGTCTCAAAAGCTATTTGCGACGGTAATTTTTCTTTTTGCGACGGCAAGTGGGGGTTGCAACAAAGGGGGTTGCAAAAGAGCTTTAGCGACGGCCGTCGCCATTGTATTTGCGACGGGAAATTTTCTTTTTTGCGACGGCAATTTTCTGTCACCAATAATGGATGAAAATCTGGGTTTTTTTGCGACGACACAAGCTTTCCGTCGCTAAAATAGGTTTGTGCGACGGCAAAAATCCCGTCGCTAAAAAATGTCGTCGCTTTTGACTATTGTCGACGGCAACCTGAGCCGTCGCTAATGACTATTGGCGACGGCAATTATACCGTCGCTAAAGCCTTGTTTTTCAATAAATTCCATACCTTTTGCGACAGTATGGCTGCCGTTGCAAAAAGCCTGGCACTTTTTTTTTTTTTGGGGGGGGGGGGGGCATAGCCCCCCAATCTTCACTCATACAACACAAGTAACATAAAAAACATAGGGGAAATACAAATAAAATAAAAGGAAAAGGTTTTATTAAATTTTGTCCAGGTCAGTGCCCACCCCCTGAATGCAGGCATGGGGATTTGTAAGGGCTTAAGTCAGTCCCAGAAAAGCCTCCAAGTCATATGTTTTATCTCTCTCCGAATATGAAAAAGAAAAAGAAATAACAATGTTTTTAAAAAAATAGAAGAATTATATTAACAATGTTTTTCTAATCCTATCTTATGTTGACATGATTCATGTACTGTTTTAAATGATGGCATATATATTTTTTTTCATAGCGACAACCTATCCAACATTGTTTGTTGTCTTTGTGAAACAAGATACACAGAGTAGTATTACCATAAAGTTAGAGATTCTCTATACCCAAAATTTCATGATCCCTATACTTAACGATATGATGTGTCAAGAATCTCAAAGATAGAAAACTCGAGACATGATTATGCAATTAAGAGTGCTTTTAATACATGGGAATGGAAATTTTGGGTAAGACGATCTATGCGATTTTATAAGTAGAAGCTAGAGTACACAATTCATCTAAAAATATATCATGAAAGCATTATACATAAATAAATCAATAAATTTAGAAACGTACCCCAAAGGAAATAGCTTGTGAAGCAATGCCTAATCAACTTCGATTTCCGTGTCCCCTCCTTTTCTCCCTTCTCGGCTTGTGCTGTTTCCTTCCAAAATTCTCGATGAACCATTCGTGAAACCTTGTGGTTATTGTGTGCCCAATAACCACCCCGACTACTATCCCACTCACATATCCCGTGCATATGAAAATCCAATCAACTTTACTTGGGAACACTAAATCATTATCTTGTTCCGAGTTCGATGGTGGTGGTGCCTCTAACTTTCCACATTTCCTTGATAAAGGGTCTCCGCACAATCCTGAATTCCCCTTGTAGGAATTGTTGTCGAATGTGTTGAATTGCTTCCCATGTGGAATGGGTCCAGTGAGATGGTTATTTGAGACATTTAAAAATTCAAGGAAAGTGAGAAGTACCAGTTGCTGAGGGATTTCTCCCGAGAGCTTGTTTTGAGAAAGGTCCAAAGATTCAAGGTTTGTTAGGTTTCCCCAAGCATGATGGGATTCCACCATTAAGGTCATTGCTGGAAAGGTTGAGCACCTGAAGCCCCTTAAGGTTTCCAATAAATTCTGGAATCTCCCCTTCAAATTTGTTGCTTGAGAGATCAATGGCAGTGAAGATATTCGGGATCTCCTGATATTCTGTATTTACACATTTGTTTGTAATGTTCGTTGTGTACCAATAGCCATCACCCCAACTGTCATTGTTCCTGCGAACTTCAATGATTGTGTTCATATATTTCATCTTGTTGACATCAAAAAATTTCATTGCATTCCAATTTTGAAAGTATTTTGATGGCAAATCACCGGTAAAACCATTATGAGAGAGGTCAATGATGTGCAAATTTGGTAACTCCAACTTAATTTTGGGATTCTCTATTGCACCATAAAATTTGTTGGATCGCAAGATGAGAACCTGTAACTTTGTAAGATCTCCTAACCACAAGGGGAATGTATCGTCAAACAGATTCTTTGAGAGATCAAGAATCTCAAGCTCGGTACAACTTGCCAATGATCTTGGCACCTTCCCCTGTAATTTATTACCACTGAAGTCAATCATCTTCAATTTGTTTCCTTTATTGTATGAGTGAGGAATGGGACCCTGAAAGTTGTTGCCTTTGAGATTTAGAACTTTCAAAGAATCACTGAAGTTACTCAAACATGGAAGAATAGTTCCAGTCAAGTTGTTGTTAGACAAATCAAGAACATAAAGAGAGCTTATTCAACAGATCAATGGCGGAAATTCTCCTGTCAATTTGTTGTATGAGACACTATAATAGTGGATGGATAATGGTGGAATTGGTAGTGGTCCTGGATGTTGCTCAAAGCCTGTTAGAAAGTTATTCCGAAGACGTATCAACGATAGAGTTTCTACACTTATATTCAACATCCATGCCGGAATTTCGCCATGAATTTTGTTTTCAGCAAGAGATAAAACTTCTAGTTTGTTTTGGAACCGCAAGAAATTTGGGAATTCCCTGAAGTTGCATGAATTTAACTCTAACACCTTTAATTTGTTAAGACTGTTATTTGAAGTTTTTTTGGTTAGAACTGTTAATTTGTTACCAGACAAATATAGATCGGTAAGATTTTTGAGCATCAGAAAAATTTCAAGTTCCAAGCCACCGAGGTTATTGAAAGAAAGATCTAGAATTTCAAGATTCTTTAGCTCAGATAATGACCTTGGGGTTGGGCTTCGCAATTGATTAATTGAAAGATCTAGCCAAATTAGATGGGTTAGGTTGGTTATATGAGATGTTATTTCACCACTCAAGTGATTGTAGGACAGGTCTAAATGAGAAAGTTGAGTTAGGTTTGAAAGAACTGATGGGATCGAACCGTATAGATTGAGGTCACTAAGGTCCAAGTCAGTGAGTTCAGTTAGCTTACCAAGCAATTGTAGGGTCCCTACATTAAATTTGTTGGATGAAAGCGACACGTAATTGAGTTGGGTCAAATTACCGAGTGAAGCTGCAAGGGACCCTGAGAAATAGCAGCCAGAGAAATCTAATTGATTCAAGAAATTAAGATTTTCAGGCTTTTCAAGTTTTGAGGTTAGTCAAGTTTTGAAGTAGGCTTCTCAGACCAAGCTTTTCAAGTTTTAGTAGTCCTGAAAATGATGAGTCAACATTGAAAGAAAGATCAATGGAAACCAATTTGGACAATTTTGAGATTTCCGAAGGGATTCGACCGGAAAATACAGAAGAGGAAAAGTTGAGACTTGTTAGCCCTGAGAGATGGCCAATTTCTAATGGAATGCAAGAGTAATCGAAGTCATTATAAGCAAGGTTAAGTCGCTGAAGGTGAACTAGGCTGAAGAGGCTGCTGCTTGAATTGATAAAACCGTGGAGGAAACTGCTGCTGAGGTCAAGGCCAATCACATGACCCGTATCCTCATCGCATTCGACGCCATCCCATGAGCAGCAATCGCCACTCTCTCCTTGGAGCTTCCATGATGCAACCTTGGGATAAGAAGAAGCGGATTTGTCAATTGAAAAGGTTTGCTTGAATTGCAACAGGGCGGAGCTCTCGTGTGCATGGCATAGTGGCTGCTCAGCAGACAAAGAGCTAGCCATTATTATTATAAGATGAAAGCGAGAGAGTGATAAGAGGAGTAAATGCATGAACAGAAAGAGATGCAAAGAGGAACCCATATTCAGTTAACTTGATTTCTCTAAGCACTCTTGGATGAAAGAAAGACAATGCTAACATGGAGCTTTTTATAGACAAGATTTTGAGTGTTGGATTGGATATGCCAAAGATCTTTGTCTATAAAATAGATTACAAAATCATGGAAATAGACCTCCTAGTCATTTGGTGACTTGTGTCACTTCCTCAAATTCCTATTCTATTCTACAACGTAAACTAGGGGGTTGAAAAAAAATAATGATGTGAGACAATTCATACTTGCTCCTGGTTGTGCATGTTTTAGATTAATTGATTTTTTGTGGTTTTTTATCATTTTAAAAGTTTAAAAAAAAATTAATGTGTTTGAAAAGTTGCTAAAAAAATTATTCACTCGGTTTAGTTTCAGTTGTCAGAATTCACTTTTCAAAAAAATCTACTTTTTCATTTTCCGTATTTTTTTGTTTTTACTGAATTTTTAAAATATTTTAAGCAATTTTTTTTTTTTTTAAATTTTTAGGCACACCCAACAAAAATACACTTAAAAAAAGATAATATTTGTGAAAAAAAATATTTAAAAAATTCACTAAATATCAAAAATACAAAACATATAAAGATAAAAATTCAATACATTTTTCATATTTTTGTATATTTGTATATTTTTTAAAATATTATTTCACAAATATTTTACTATTTAGATGCATTTAAGTAAAGTGCATCGAAAAAAGTAAAAAAAATTGCCTAAATTTTAAAAATATTTACTCAAATTAAAAAAAATAAGAAAAATAAAAAA